CTGCGGCTGAAGTCGCTTCTAATAGGGACTATCAGCAACGTAACTTCTGACATGTTTTCTGAAAGAACTATATTGCAAACATTTTCTCCTAAGGTGAGTGCTCACAGGAATTATAAAACCTGTAGGAAATAATTGAGGAGTAACAGCTTACTCTCAACCTCAGCGATACTGACATTTTGGTGTACATAATTCTTTGCTGTAAGGGACTCCTGTGCATTATAGTCTATTTAGCAGCATCTCGGGTATCTTGGAATGCCAATCACTTTTCCTTACAAAGGCTTGAGGCCAGGACACAGGTAAAGGGTGAAGCTTGGGGGACCCACTTCCTTGCTATGCCCTCGTTCAGCACCAGCGGGCTTCTGTCGGCTAAAACGCACATACACACAGCTTGCCTCCTAGGACAGGCAGAGCAGTTTATACTAACGGCCAATGAGCTGGAGAAAATAACAGCGACAGCTGCTTCTCTGCCAAGCATGAAACCAGAAAGAACATGTGTTCTATTTTTCTTGAGGGCCGGGCTCAGCATCTCCACATGCGGCTGCACTTAGAGCGAGGAGGGAGTCCTTGTGGACTTTTCAGGAAGACAAAAGCAACAAAGGGCCATGAGGTCAGGATTTTGCAGCTTAGAGTATTAGTAGCCCTGTGCTCGCCTCTGCTACCCATGCTCTTGGGTGACATGAATTCCTCCTGGGTGCCTGTGCGGCTGCACTGTTTAGAGGCAAGGAAGAGAGCGAGGTGGTGGCAGCCACCTGACCGGAGCAGCTCACCACTCTTGTCCCCCTCTAATCTATCCTCTGCCCAGCAGCAGGAAAGATCATTATAAGATACAGACATGACCCTGTCACTCTTCAGAGACTTCCCGTAGCACAAAGGTGTTAGCAAGACCTAGAAGGCACCACGAAAGCTGGCTCTTGCACTGTCTCCACAGTTCCCCCTCCACATGGTCTCGACAGCATCAAATCTTACTGGCCCACTGTGCTCCTCCTAGGAGCTCAGTTTCTTCCTATTTCAGGGCCTGCTCTTCTTTTCTGAAAAGCTCTTCTTCCCTCTTTGCCTGGCTGGAGCATACTTATCCTGTAGAGCTTCCTGACAGCTTCTTTTCTTCCTTCCTTCCTTCCTTCCTTCCTTCCTTCCTTCCTTCCTTCCTTCCTTCCTTTCTTTTTTTCTTTCTCTCTCTCTCTCTCTTTTTCTTTCTTTCCTTCCTTCTTTTCCAATCAGATTTTATTGGTACATTTTAGATACACATAGTGATTACATTCACCTTAGAGAATTTGTACCCATATATGAAATAACTTGTTTCTTTTTTCTTATCCTCCTACTTCTTTTTCTTTCTTTCTTTCTTTTTTCTTTCTTTCTTCACTTCTTTCTCTCTCTCTCTCTTTTTCAAGTCATCTTAGGTGCCATTTTAAACACTGATTGCATGATATTTTTCTTTATTGCACTAACATCACTCTAATTATATAACTGTACATGATTATGTACTCACTGTCTTACTCCCATGATACTACAAGCTTCATGAGGAGAGTTTATCTGCTTCACTATTTGCAGCACTAAGTACAATGACCAACACTGTACATGCACAATTAATTTCCTCTCAGTTGAAGAGAGGGAAAGAGACAGAGACAGAAGTCAGGGAGAAAGGAAGGAAAGAGAGGGGAAGGAAGGATGGAGCCAAGTAGGGAAGGAGGAATGGAGGCCCCACTAGGGCTGGGAGGATATTTGATTTCTTTTCTCTAATAGAAAAGCTGGACAGGTTGAGTGGCTCTTACCTGAAGAACTATTCTTTATTTATTTATTTATTTTTTATTTTAAAGAATAAAAGAAGGATAACATAATAATAGGGGGGACTTAGCAAATTACAGACAAAATGGTAGGAAATTATCAATGGTTATTGTTTTACATATTGTTATCTACAAAATAGTTTCTCAGGAAAACAAATAGACAAATAATAGTGAGTTAGAGACAAAAGAGGTAGGAGATTATCAAGAGTTGTTGTACTATACTTTGGTATCTTCAAAGTGGCTTCTAAGGAAAATAAATAGAGCTATACATGAGTGACCTATTGAAAGAACTATTTTTTAAAGGCAGAACCTGAACATTAAAATTTTGTCCATGGGAAAATGATGAATTCAAATTACAGAATGGGTGCAAATGGGTCATCAGGGCAAAGGGGGTCTGAGGCAAGTGGTAAAAACACAGCAAAATGAGAAGGGGAAAAGGAGGAAAGGTGAAGCAAAATAAAAAATAATCAATACAAATTCAACAAACAGCAGGACAGAGCTACCAGCTGGGATTATTTTGTTACTAGCTGCTTTCTATGTATGGACATAGCAAGTCTGATTAAAGGGACATATACCACACACAGCTGCCAGATATAGCTATTGCCCAGGTATATGAATAAATTAGTGTTATTTTACATAAGCCATTTTCTTGTGAGTGTGAATAGATTCTGAGTATACTAAGACAACTGTATTAAGTTAGAGATTGTGTAGAATCATGGGGCCTGCCCCCAGCTGGAGCTGTGAAGCTCTGCCTAAGCACTTTCCTGGTTCCTCCCACCTCTAAATCTCTACGGCATCTTCCTTTGAAATTCAACATTCTGAGCCACAGTTACCAAGCTCTTAACTTACACAATATCTCATATTATCTCTCCTTGATTATCAGCTCACGGGAAACACGGCAAGTGTCTAGTTCTTTTTCCCATTTCCTACTGAGTCTAGCACAATGATTCCAAATAATGAGTGCTCAAAAAAGCATGAATAAATACTGCTGTATACTTCATAGGTGTGTATTAAATTGTTAACTTCTTGAAGAAGACCTTGTTAGTCCTGAATTAATTATAAAATATAAGGTAGTTGGGCTAATCTCTAAGATATTTTCAAACTGTAACTATTAGAATAATGACAAGGATATGTCTTCGAATGTATGTATGTTTTCTAACCTTTCTATCATTTCTAGTATATTCTGGGCACCTAGTGAGAACTCAAGCAATGTTTTTAGTGAACTGACTTCAATACAGATGTATTTAAATGGAGAAAAAACATATAGCTGTATTTTGGAAACTTCATATAAATTACTAATCAATTGAACATTATTTAAAATATACAAGAGAAATATGTTATTAAATGGATTTCTAAGGTATAGTACTTAGAATCATTTCATAACATAATTCCTTAATTTAATTATCTTCTAAAGTTTCACCTTTTTCTAGGTCAAGGTTACTGACTAACTAGGTAAAACTTGACAGCAATATGGGAGCCAACTGATTCAGTATTGCTACAGTCTGGATGTGGTTTGGGTATGTCTCTAAAAGTTTCATGTGTTGGAAGCACGGTCCTCAGTGTTGAGAGATGATATGATCTTTAAGAGGTAGAGCCTAACGAAAGGTGAGACGGTCACTGGAGGCACTGCCTGCAGAAGGAGTTCGTTTCTGGGAGACCCCCGTTAGCTCCCCTTGTTATAAGATAGCCAGACTGGCCCCTCCCCACCCTCTGGCTTCCTGTTTCTCTCTCACACACACTCCTGTCACGATGATATCTGCCATGATGTGACTCGGCCAAGGCAGCCCTCGCTAGAGACTGAACAAATGGAGCTACTCAGTCTTGGGCTTCCGGCCTCCCAAACTTTGAACTAAATAATAAATAACCTCTTCTCCTTATATATTACTCAGCCTTAGCTACTTTGTAATAGCAACAGATAAGTAATATAAATATTGAGTAAATCAAACTCTCCTTCACAGAGAGGTGCTCCTCTTTCTTCAGTTCTCCAGATGCTCTCCCTCTCTCTCGCTCATATGCCACATGCACATACACATACAAACCATTTTCTTCCTTGTGTTTTAATTCACATTTCAACTTTTGTAGTCTGATTTATAATGTTATTACGGACAAACCTTTCAATTTCCAATACTCTTTTCCACCCTCCCCCTTGTTTACCCACATGCCTCACCATTTTTGAAAATGGGTATGCCTTCCATGGTATCTGGGTCATCCTCAGTGTCTAGATCCTTCAAAGTATCTGTCCTTGGTCGCAGCTTTGGTACGAGCACGCTGGAAGTTGAAGCTTCCCCAGCTGAGAAGCAATGGTTGCAGGTCACCCTCAAGGTGAGGTTCAGAGGAGCACTGTTTCTTATAACTTTTACCTTTCCCTAGCATTCTCAGCTGTCCAGGGTTCTTTTTCCATAAATATAAATAAGAGAAGTGATGACTATTTTCAACAATTACCTTACTTCAAAAAGATTCTATTCCTTCGACATAGAGGCTAGGTAGAACACATTTCTACATATTCTGAGGTGAGGGTGGAAAACAAGGGAAATTTTTTTTAGGATTTGTTTTATCTCACAGGTTCTGGGGTATCAATGACAATGGAAAGTAGGATTCCCATAGATGACCTGAGACAAGCTGGAAGAACTCATGAAGGACAGAGAAATCAATGACCACCTCATGAGCTACAAATCTTGTTCACTCGCAATTCTTGCTTATCTGTTTAAAGCCTATTCCCAAATACCAGGTCAACATCTCATCTATACTTGTACAAAGAAAAGATATGATTCAGTGAAAAATATTTTATCATAGTGGGAACATATCAGTAATTACACTGGAAAGTTTACATCCTATATTGAGATTTCCTGTGAGAGAACCCATTTACTGATACTTTACTAGGATCAGGACAAAACTGTACCTGTTCTCTGAGGAGTCCTGACTAACCGACGAGACTGAATCACACACATGAAAAGTTTCAGATGAAATTCTTCTTTATGCATGGCTATTTCCTAGAAATAAAGTCAGAGCTTAATCCAAGCGAACAGACCTGTGGAGTAATTTAAGGTGTCAATGACTGACACGGACCATGTATGCTCAATACTACTAGGTCTTAGGATTTGAGAATATAAAAATAAAAATACCAATATATGAGGTAATACACATAATTTACTTTTATATATTGGATCCTCTGAAATCAGCAGACACTCCCTCCTTCCTAGCTACTGAGAGAATGGGAAAGGCTGGGGCTTCCAGAAGCTTTCTTCTTCAAGACTGTAATCAGGCTGCAGCTGTCATCTGGGTCTTCGGTGCCTACTGGGAAGCATTTCTCTGAGACTTTTGGGCAGGGCTTGCACCAGAGGTCCGCTAAATTGAGGGGCTTGGTAAACAGCTACATGAATAGTCATAGTGATTGTCAGATTTGAAAAATCTGACATAGATTACAGGCTAATCGCAGTGGTCCCAAGAACAGTGGAAGGGACCCGTCAAAGGTTAACCTCCAAGTCTTTTCCTATCTTTACCCAGAAAAGCAGGTCTGTTAGCCCCACAGGAGAACACTGCCTATGTTTCAGACTCCTCCAGAGTTCTGAAGCTTCCATATGCTGCCACCGTCTAATCTAAACTGTCCCTAGATTGCCTTTTTCTTTTAAAAAGGTCAGTCAAGTATGACGTGGTGCAGAGTATAGGACTGCAAGTTAAGAGACCTGTTCCCTAGTTGTAGATCTGCTAAGCACTTTGTAGCTTTGAGAAATTACTTCATTTACCAGAACCTGCTAAGACTAACGAATTTCCAATAACCTCTACAGGTACTAACGTTCTGTGATTCACAATAAGCCACGATATAGATGGAGATCGACTTGGATCTCAGGTGGTCATTTGTCAGGGAGATCACAGGTTCGCAAAGATCTAAGGCCGCAGCGAAAAGCTGCCATGGAAACCCGAGCGGAAGCAAAAATCGCAGGCGGAACCAGAAGGCAGCGGGTAAAGCGTCCAAGGGAACATAGAAAAGTAAAGGACGAAGAGCACACTAACGGGGAAGACAGGAAAGCCCACACTGAAGAGGAAACAGGGAAGTTATGACTACAGCTTCAGGCCTCCCAGAGGTATTGAGGCGTCGCCACGTCGCGCAGGCGTTCCACGGGCCCTTAACTCTGCTCTTTGACCTCCCGCCCCGCCCCCACCTCGGCAGCCGCCGAGCGCGCTTCCGGTGCTGTGAGGCGGTTCCGGTTCGCGGCGGTTCCCGGGTTTTGCGTTCCGCCCGGCCGGAAACACCTCTGCCTGGCAGCCGGTTCCGGTTCGGTGAGTGGCGGCGGGAAGCTGGGGGAGGGGTGAGCATGGAGGGAGCCTGGGCCGGGCGGCAGCGTGGGACTGAGCCCCCCGGCCTGGGCTGGGCCGCGCGGGAGCGTGGGCCGCG